GATTTACTGCGTCTTCTGAAGACGGTTTCGGTTTGATTTTTAAAACATTTTTCACATGCTCAGCAGTTGCCCAGTTAATTTTATATCCTTGTGTCGCTTTCTCCTCCTGTCATTAGTACTGATTCTATTACAATTTTATTATTGGGGGCGGGGGGGACAGGGAGGTGGGTTGTAGACCTTGAACTCAGGGCCTGGGCGCTATCCCTGAACTCCTTTTGCTCAAGGCTAGCGCTCTACCACTTTGAGCCATAGTGCCACTTACAGATTTCTGGTGGATCGTCTTGGACTTTCCTGTCCCTGCGTGGCTTTGAACTGTGATTCTTGTCTCTCAGCCTCCTGAGTGGCTAGATTATAGGCGTGAGCCACCAGTGTCCAGCTGTGATTTCCTATTTTCTGTGCAGAAGACCAAAAGAGATGTACTTTTGAGTTGAGCTCCAAACTTGGAAAATATTTTAATGCATGCCACAGAGTTATTGTGAATATACCACTAATCCATGTATAACTTTCCTGTTATTACTGACTGATTACTTAGTAATTAAAATAGTAATTGTTACATAATGAAGGGTTACATTTATATGCGAACTCTGTACAACAAATAAATGAAGTAAGCCAGACCCAAAGAAACAGGTTCCAAGGTTTCCCTTATTTGCAATAACTAGTATGCATCTAGGATAATCTTATCAGACAAGGAGAAAAGGTCAAAAGCTATGTACATATATATGACCATATAAGATGATGCTAAGTGAAGTGAAACCACCCCCACCCCCACCACCACGATAGGGACACAAGAGGTTTTTGTCTTTGTTGTTGTTGTTTTAAATGTACTATGTGATTTGTTTTTGTTTTTTGTATGTTGTTCCCCCACAGTATAACCCCTATTGTCATCGTATTTGATTCTGGTACCCTGAATCTTGTATATACATTTTTCTAATTTAAGGAGGGGAAGGGAAATAACAAAATGCTGAAACAAGGATATAGGTTGACCCATTGCAACATTGAAGTGGGGAGGGGAGGAGTTAGGGAGGTGGGGAGGGAAGGGATGGTAGGGGAAAAACAAAGGAGGCGGCAATAATGCTGGATAGGAAATGTACTCATTACCTTAATCATGTAACTGTAACCCCTCTGTTTAGCATCTTTACAATAAAAAAAAGCTTCCAGAAAATAGTTCCAAATTCTAGACAGTAGTCAACCTTGGATATTATCATTTGTGAATTGGTAAGTACCTTTATTCAATTAATGCAAGAGATTTATTTATTTATTTATTTATTTATTTATTTATTTACTTACTTACTTACTTATTTATTTGTGATGGTCCTGAGTCTTGAACTTGGGGCCTGGAGGTTGTCCCTGAGCTTTTTTGCTTGAGGCTAGCACTTTACCATTTGAGTCATAGTTTTACTTTCATTTCTTTGGGTGGTTAATTAGAGTTAAGAGACTCAGAGACTTTCTTGCCTGGGTTGGCTTTCAGCCTTGATCCTCAGATTTCAGCCTCCTGAGTAGCTTGGACTACAGGTGTGAGCCACCTGTACCTGGCTATAATGTATTTATATACTTGGTCATACACTATATATATATATATATATATATGTATATATATATATATGTATATATATATATATATATATATATGTATGTATGAAGTTAAACATAGAAAACTAAACCACTTAACTTTTACATACATGACTATTCAGAATTGAAATTTTGTGGGTTATTTAAAAATATCTACTAGAGGAAAAATTTAATACATTTATTTTCAGAAAACCAAAAGTCAAACATATTTTCTGCATTGTGAAGACTAAATAAACTTGAAAATGAAAAGGAGATGGGCTAGAAGAGGCCCAAGATCTACAGTTATTTAATCATGACTAGGCTTTCTGATGTAAACTGTTTTGTTTTTTTGTCGGTTGTGGGGCTTGAACTCTGGGCCTGAGCACTGTCCCTGTGCTCTTCAGCTCAAGGCGAGCACTCTACCACTTGAGCTACAGCACTACTTCCGGTTTTCTGGTGGTTTATTGGAGATAAGAGTTTCACGGACTTTCCTGCTCAGGCTGGCTTTGAACCATGATCCTCAGATCTTGGCCTCCTGAGTATCTAGGAATACAGGCTTGAGCCACTGACGCCCAGCTGTAAACTTTTTATCTATAGCATGAGACCCATAAATACCTGTATACTTTCCTTGTATAATTGTTTTTAAAATAGGAGAAATAAAGTATGTATATGCAGTAATATAATGGAAGATAACATTTAAATGTATGCTTTTTTGAAAAACCTTTTTCATTTGTCAATATTTTACTTATTTTTTTTAATCTGGTAAAAGTAGAAGACTTGAAGATCCTTCACTAAAAATTCCAGTTCATCAATTATTCCCAATTCTCTTTGATTTCAGTAGTATATTTAACTTAAGACTTTTGTCATTTCTGAGATTTTTATTATGTAAACTAAAAACCTTATAAATATTATTGGGATGTTCATAGCAGGATTCACTGTAGGACAAGAATATTTTTTAATCTTTTTTTGTTATTGTGAAAATACCATACAGAGGGTTTGCAATTACATGGGCAAGGTAATGAGTACATTTCTTATCAAGCATTGTTGCCTTCTCCTTTGTTTCCCCTTCCCATCCCTTCCCATCTCCCTCCACCTCCAACCCCCCACCCCCTACCCCCGGCCAAAGTTGTAAAGTTCATTTTTCGACATAACGACTTGTACATCTCATTGTTGCAATGGGTCCACCTGTATCCCTATTTAAGCGGATTGTTTTTTCTCTTCCCCTCCACAAATTATGCCAACATCAAATACAATGAAAGCAGGGGTTATACCGTGGGGGAGAGACATACAAGGCAACAAAGAAATCATCATATAAATATGTTAGAAATAATCACAAGAAAGAAAAACCATTTGAGTCCTTAACTTGGGGTTCATTTCACCTAACACCAACTTATCTGACCTTTTCTGCTTGTCTCAGACATATACTAGTTATTGCAAATAAGGAAAATCATGGGACCATTGTTTCTTTGGACCTGGCTTACTTCACTTCATATAATTTTTTCCAAGTCTTTCTATTTCCTAACAAATGGGGCAATGTCATTCTTTCTGATTGTGTATACAAACCACATTTTCAGGACAAGAATAATTTTTGTTTTATATTATTCGCATCAGTACATAGTTAAATAATTATTCCATCTTGATAATACTATATGATATTAATACTATGCCTTTATTTTATAGACATGAAATGAAACTAGACATGATAACTGGTTGGAAATCCACAGACCCTGTTTTGGGTGGTACTGGGGTTTGCTTGCTAGGCAAGTGCTCTACTACTTGAGCCATGTCTCTGCCCTTTTATTTATTGATTTGTTGAGAAGGAGGTCTCCCTGCTTGCTTGAACTAGCCAAGAACAGTGTTCTTTGTTCTCTGATTTATAAGGAGCTATGATTACCAGCATAAGAACTGCAGTTCACCCTGAAATTCATAGACGTTTATTCCAGGCAAAATCAAGCTTCCCTTAGATTATGTTTTAAAATACTGGTTAAAAGTCAAGTGTCTCTAGAAGCCTCATTATTATCATTGGAGGTTGATTATTATCTTTGGATAGCATTTCTTTCAGAAACAAGGGCAACATCGATCTAAATGGGCATTTTGATGACTTTGGAGAGCATTTGTCACATGCTACATAATATAGATAGCAAAGATAAGAAAACGTACATGTGGGCCACATCTGTCATATTTCTGTAGCTACTTCATTAATTCACTGTGAAATAACATGAGTTAATTTGATGTTCACTGAATGACTGCAGGATCTGCAGTGAATCTTAATCGACATACAAAATGGTGACAACGGAAACGCTTCGATGTCATCTTTACTATTTAAATTGGTAACTGGATGAAAAAATTAGGAATAGGAATGTTTCCATGGGAAAGCAAATAGATTTTTTTCCCCCTGATCCTTGCTGATTTTTTCAAGTTCTGTCTTGATGACATTGGCTAGTAAGCAAGGCCTGTTTCTTGTCTTCCCAATCCCAGCTTCTTAGGCAGCTTCTAACAATTCTGTGTCTCCTCTCCCGAGATTGAGTGCAAGCCCAAATGTGCTCCTGACTAGTCCAGTCTCTGATAGGAGACTCTTGAGAGACCTCTCAACTCAGGACATTCTTTTGCACATGTGGTCCCGGCTGGTAGAGGGGGCAGAGCTGTGGGAGGGACTAAATGATTCCAGAAAGAGCAGCAGAGAGTGGCAGAAGATGGTGGTTAGAGGAGGGAGGTCCGGGAGAACTTAGGGTTGACTAGGCAACTGCATTTGAATAGCACCTAGTTTCTAGAACTGTCTGGATGAGCTTTCTCCCCTTAATTCTCCAATCAAGATATCTGAACAAAACAATACACTTACCTATTTGGGCTTGGCTTCCTGGAAGGCTGATAGTGCTTGGATCCATGGCCCTGCTTGGCTACCCACTCTCTGACCAACCAAGGACAAGGTTTTTTCAAGTCTCTGCACTTCAGTCTCTATACCTAAAACAGAGAGGTTAATGAGAATTCTGTTTCAGAGTTGCCTTCAAGAATGAAACATTTCCAAGATGCTTAGAATAGTTGGGACACCAAACTACTAGTGTCCTCTGATGGTGGCTGTCACTATTATAAAGATTGATCAAAATGTCAACTTTTCTTTTCCCCCTGGTTTCTGAGGCTTGAACTCAGGGCCTGGGTACTGTCCCTGAACTTTTTTTCCATCATGCTTATCTTGTGGCATTTTGGTGGTTAATTGGAAATAAAAGTCTCACGGACTTTTCTGCCCAGGCTGGCTTTGAACTGAAAATCCTCAGATCTCAGTCCTCTGAGCAGCTAGGATTACAGGTGTGAACCACCAGTGCCTGGCCTCCACTTGATTTAGATATTAATTAAAATGTACTGACTTTTCTGTGACACACAATGAATGCTGACAGCTTGGTTTGTTGTTTATAAAGAGGCTTCTGAGTCATAGTTCATTTCTTTTTATTCAATAGTCAAAATCTCAGATATTGTCCAGTGTATTGGATGTTGCCCATCGATTCATAAAAGAAGTGAATCCGGATGAAGCTAAACGAGGGAATATCTCAATAAAAGAGGCCAATAAAAGCCAGAGTAGGCCCACATCCCCACCTGTGTGGACCAGCAGCTCCGAGGTAAGCTGGGCTGGATGGTCCCAGGCTGGAATCTACAGATCTAACTGGAGTCACGGCAGTTTGGAGATTTGTGTATTGTATTATTATTTAAAGTGTATTTGTGTTTTATTAGTCAAATATATGTTGACTGTAAAATGATGTTTAAGGAAAAGATTAGTGTGATTCCATTGAAAACTGATCTTTTTTCATGAATGATCTTTTGACCTGATGGATTTCTGGGCATTTGTTCCATGTCAAGAATTTAATAAGAATGTTAGGGAAACATTAAAAGAAAGTCCACGAGGCAATATAACAATTTTTATATAAGTCCAGACTTCAGAGAGACTAAAAATGCAAAGCTTTCCCAGTGTTTTAAGTGACAAGCAATTTCAAAATTAAAAAAAATATTTTTGTACCAGTTCTGGGATTTTAATTCAGGGTCTTGGCACTCATCCTGAGCTTCTTTTGCTACAGGCTAATACTTTATCACTTGAGCCACAGCTCCATATCTGGCTTTTTGTGGTTAATTGAGGATAAGAGTCTCACAGACTTTTCTGCCCAGGATGGTTTTGAACTGCGATCCTCATATCTCAGCCTCCCGATTAGCTAGGATCATAGTCATGAACCACTAGGACCTGGCTATTTAAGAAGCAGCTTGATAGAAAATTCTGGTAGTTAAAAAAAAAGAAAATTCTGATAGTTATTCAGGTTAGCTATTTATCCCATGATGTGCTGAATATGTTTTAAAAAAAATAGTTCATCTCCATATTTTTATAACAGACTTTTGCAGATTCTTTTTTTTTTTTTTCTCTTTGATTCTGGGGCTTGAATTCAGGGCCTGGGCACTGTCCCTGAGCCCTTTTTGTTCAAGGCTAGCACCCTACCACTTGAGCCACAGCACCATTTCTGGCCTTTTCTGAGTAGTTTATTTAAGAGCTCTCAGCCTCCTGAGTAGCTAGGATTACAGGCGTGTGTCACATGCTGTTTGGCTGTGTGGGTTCTTCAGTAAGAATCTCCTGTAGTCCTTGCCCTTTCAGAGGTCACTCTCTCTTCAATACTTGCAGTTCTGAAGCTGAGAGGCTTGGTTGGTACGGAGCTTGTTCTGTCCAACCAAATCTGAGCTGTACTGAGGTCCCTCAGGTTTTACACTCATGTTCACTGAGATGAAAGAGAATGAAGTCTATGTTAGCCGAAGCTCTTCCCAACAGAGGAATTGTGTTTGCATTTTTCAAGCAAGAAAGTGTTTTGGTGGATCAATGTTCTCTTTCCTCCCTCTCACCCTCCTTTCTCTTCTCCCTCCCACCCTCCCTCCCCTTTTCTCCTTCTGTTCCTAAATTCTTCCTTAGGTGGCAATCAAGAGGAGGTTTGAGCTCAGGGTCTCATGCTTATTAGGGAAATCCTCTACCACTTGGATCACACCCCAGACTGTTTTTTGCTTCAGTTCCTTTTTTCCTATTAGTGACTTATGGGATCTGGTGGGAACTTGAAATTGCAGAGCTTTTGAAGTTCTTGAGCAGAGTGACAATGAGCAGAATTTTCACAGGTGTGGTGCTGGCCCGTAACCTCAGTGCTCAGGAGGCTAAGTGAGGAGGCTCAGGAGAGAGAGGCCAGTCTGGGATACATAGCAATATCTTCTCTCAACAACCACAACCGAAAGTAAAAAGTAAAAAAGAAACAGTGATTCTTCTTCAGTGTCAAGATTGTAAGGAATTGGAGGCCTGAGCATTGCCGACAGAATGTATACATGTTTTTGTGGACACAGTGAATAACCTAAGAACCAATCAAACCTATAATATTAATTTATCTTATAATTACCAATGCAAGAAAGCATCAATGCATTTAAATAAATTACTTAAACAATACCATCCCATTTTAAAATACAGCTGATTTATAATGACGAGTCATTAGCCTTACCTATGTGTTAAGACTCCAGAAAAGATGCTAAAGCACAGTTTGATGTGTTTTGTACTGATTTAGGTAAAAAGAAACAAGACGGATCGAGGGGAATGCACAAGTCCGGGAGACCAGCTCCTGTGTGAAGGAGTTTTTGATGAAGTAGCTTCTGCCCAATATTTCCAAGAAGCGTTAAACCATTGGAGAGCTGGAAATTCTGACAACAAGGAGAAGCAGAACTCACAGGCAGGAAAACCAGGTATGGCTGCTACTGAAATGCTTAGCAGGCATACAGTCAGGGTGGTTTTAGTGATCCCCATTTTCTCTGAAGAGAATTGCAATGTTTGAAAACTTCACGGCTTGCTGTCAGTCCTTCACGCGGCATTTGGTATGCAATCTATGATGGCAGGTGGTTGGCTTAGTATTTACACACCCTGAGTTGGGTCCTAGGGATATTTTATCTTCGTTTCCTATGTAAATTCAGGCAGTCCAATTAATGTAATATTTTAGTTGGTCTTTCACCTTTTTTTCTTTTAGCAAGAAACAGTTGTTAGGGTAACAATTCCATTTTAGAGTTCTAATTGTGATATGCGAAATAGGAGAATCTGTGAGACAGAAAAATAAGAGATTTTTAGGTGTATATTGAAAAATATGATCTCAAGGTTTACTGTGAAATTCAGCAGGATAATTGATTGATGTTTGAAAATATCTTTGACTTTCCTTTTCTTCTGTCTCTTTCTCCCTCCTTTCTCCCCTCTCTCTGGTAGTGCTAAAGTTTGAACTCGGGTTCTTTTACTTGCTAGGGAGTTACCCTACCATTGAGCCAAATCTCCAGCCCTGTATTTCACTGATTATTTTTGAGTTAGAGTCCTACTTTCAGCCTGACATGCATTCAGGCTGTGATCCACCTATTATCAGGCTTCCTATAGTTGCTCTGGGGTTTGGCTTGGGGAGATATGGATGCTATAGTTGACGGTGTATAACCTAGTCAGCCATCCTCACATACTGCAAGGGCTCAGAAGAACATTTTCTACCAGTCCTTGCACGCTGTCACCTTTAATCCCATTTGTTGTGGCTTTGTCCTGTAGCTGAAGATAGTTGTGGGGGGAGATGATTGAGCTGTCTGTTTTCCAAAAACATAATGGGAATCTAGAATGGTAGAGGCAGATGTGAGTACATAATCAATAAAGTTGCAAAGAAAAAACAATCAAAATATGGTGCAGGGAAGGGTATTGAGCAGGAGGTTTTATTCACTAGGGTCTTAGATGCTAAGGAGTGGACAAAGTCGTACAGCATCCTGTTTGATCCATATGGTGGAATGACATTATATAGCCATCAAGTATGACTTGGATGTGCCATACTGAGGATTCAGTTTTTAAAAATTATAACATTTATGTATGTGTTCTAATTATCTACCTATATTTATATTTTAATTGTCAAGGTGTGTACAGAGGGGTTACAGTTATATAAGTAAGGTAATCAGTACCTTTCTTGTCAAACTTGTTACCCCTTCCCTCATTTTTCTCCTACTTTCCCTCCCCCAATCATCCTACCCCCAAGCTGGAGAGATCATTTCCAACATACTGTCTGGCGAATATCACTGTTGTATTGGTTCTTTGTGTCACCATTCTGTTGTTACCCTTCCAGTTTTATGATGTTGCCAGACTTAAAATCTGAAGGCACCTGTACATGAAATCATCCATCTGTGTGTGTACAATGCGTTTTTATGAGAAGCCTTCACTAGCAGTACTTTTGGCTATTTGCCACAATAAGTACCCAATGGAGAATGCAAATCCTCAGGGGCTGTTATTACTATAACCATTACTACTACTATTATTAATCATCTAACATTGATTTACTTTATCCCCCAATGAGGCGATGAATGAAGCCTGGCATTGATTCTTTCTCTTATTGGATGCATCATAGCGTTGCTTTACTATACCTGAATATATATTTGGGGAGATGAAATTAAAAGTTTGGAAATTTGAGTGTTGGCACAAAAATCATTAACAGGGATACATAACTAGATCCCTAGAAGGAGACGACCTTCCTATTGTTATGCTACAATAACATGGCTGAAGCAATATGATTTTTCTGAGCATTAAAAAATCCATGCCATCATCAAAGGTTGCTTTTAAAAATAGTCATATTTAAAGCTGGGCACTGGTGGCTCATGTATGTAATCCTAGCTACTCAGGAAGCTAATCCTCAGAATTGAGGATTATGGTTCAAAGCCATCCTGCGCAGGAAAGTCTGTGAGACACTTTTCTCCAATTAAGCACCAAAATATCAGAAGTGGCTCCATGCCTCAGTGGTAGAGAGCTAGCCTTGAGCAAAAAGTTCTCAGGGGTAGCACCTAGGTCCTAAGTTCAAGCCCCAGGACCATATTTAACTTGTTGGTTTGGTACAATAGCCAATGATCTAAGAGTGTGACTATAACTATAATAAACTTGACTAGACTAAAAGGAAACTAATCACTGTTGCTTTGTGGATGTTGGTTAAACACCAACAACCATAACACATTCTTTGTAACTAACAGCAGCTATTGACCCTACTATATAAACAGCATGGTACATGGTCGCTGTGGGCAGCCAATTTGCAACCACTCAGTTATCCATCCTTGCCATTACAGCACCAAAGCTGGCACTTATGCCTTCCAATACAACTGTGTTCCAATAAACTTTATTAACAAGTGCAGAAATGTATCCAAATAAAAACTGTGGGCCAGAGTTTAGTCTACTTTGCTAAACCCTGATCCAGGAAATCTATCCTTTACTGTTTCTATCACTGAAGATAACCAGAAATAGATAGATTAGAAAATGAAACAAAATTTGTGTCAGTATACCTTTACAATAAGATTCTTTGGTTACAAGGGAGTATTGAAGATAATTGCCTACATGTGTCACTTATTAGTATTGAAGATAATTGCCTACATGTGTCACTTATTAATTCATTAAGACTTAACACCTTAGCATTATTTAAATCTTAATCTGTTGTTGCCTAGACAAAATGCTGAAGCACCTTTGCTTCAGAAAAGCATGCGCTCTATATCTTAAGAGAAGATACGAGAATTTATAGGCTTGGCCTGATGAATTATTCACACTGGGCTTGTGTTTGTAGCCTCATCGGAAGAATGTGAAGTGCAAACTAATCTGAAAATTTGGAGTGAACCAATTAATATCGAATTTGCTGAGGACAGTCTATCATATATGGAAAAATTATGGCTTAGAAAACACAGAAGGTATTTTCTGAATTTTTAAAATTATTATTTATTAGGAAATGTAAAAGCTAGCTGTGCCTGCCTTTTTATAGCCATTTTATATGTATGCTTCATATTTGCATAACTATTTTAAAGCATTATTAAATTGAAGCTTCTTCTGTTTGTGCAATAATTTTAATTATACTTACAGAGGGTGCAACTCTGATTTAGAATTTGACTTGAAACATAAAACTGGGTATGTGAAATAAAGGAACAAATACAGGATAGACTTTAAGAATGATAAGGGAAAATATGGTAATAAATGGTTACTGCAGATAGCCTTGCTGTTAGATCATTAACATCTACACACACATTGGAGGCTAGAATGTCCCCAGCATACTTTCAAGTTAACTAGACTTTTAATTTTATAATCTTTATAATACCTTCAAAACACTTTACTCCAAGACTATATCCTTACATCCTACATTAGTTATGGTTTTTTTCCCACTGTAATAAAACACCTGGAAGACACAACTTAAAGGAGGAAAGAATATTTTATAGCACATCCTTTGGCCTCATTTCCTTGGGGAGAACATTATGGGAGTGGTAGCATGTGGCTTGTGATGGAACTCTGTCCCTGTCATGGTGGACAGAAGAGTAGAAAGGCAAATACAAGAAGGGGCTGGGGGAAAATATAACCCCATAGGACACGCCCCTGTATTCTACTTCCTTCAACCAGACCCCACTACTTCCTGTTTACCTCCTCAAAGATGCCATCAGGCTATGAATCCATCAAGGGATGAATCCATTCATTTAAATCAGAGATGACATGATCTAATCATCTCACACATGGAGGTGTGCTTTTCCATCTCCAGAAAATTTCCCATCCATCCAGGTTGACCCTCTAGTTTACTAATTAAAACTGTTTCACAATTCAAAACTATTAAAATACTCAACCAAAACTATGAACTAGTACACAGATTTTACTAGCACATGATTGTCATAATTTTGCCATCATATTGATACATAGGATTTTGGAGGGACACGATAAAAATCCTAAATTCAGTTTCTCTTCAGCAGAGTTCTCCACATTTCATTGTTTTTTTTTTTTTCTCATTGGAAGATCATCAGAAAATACAAGGTTCTTTCGTAGATCTAAATAGGGAGAGTCAGCATCTCGGAATTTCTAATAATCTCGAATGATGCTGGTGTGATGATGCTGGTCCCTGGATCACATTCTGAGGAGGACAATGGTGGAGAGAGTCTCTCCTGAGTTGGCCAGCCCTTGCTTTACCATCCTTTAGACTTAGCCATTTCCAGAGGAGGTCGTTCACTTCATCTTCTAATATTCTGACATACAGGTTTGAGAAATAAAAATCTTTTCTCGCCAGCCATTTCCTGATCAGATTTACAGTCACTTGTTATATGCTTACCCAACTGAATTGATCAGTGCTCAATCAATATTTGCTAAAGTGTATAGAGCAAAAGACAGTGAGGTAAATACTATCCTAAAAGATGTTTCATTCATCCTCTCTGTGGCACCATCTTTATCAAAAAGCATTTGTTCCAGTGTCTGACTAGCCCAGATTTCCAACTTAGCTTGCTGTTGGGCTAGTTGTTTATTCCCAAGCAAATCAGTTAAATTTTATTGCTCCAAGTTTGCTCATTAGGAAAAATACTGAGTAGAGAATAAACAATAGTCTGTATCTCAGAGCTCCATTGTCTAGAGTCTGTTAGTCTTTGGATGAGGGTGTTTGCTCAGAGAATCAGAAATATCTGGTTATCAGCATATTTATATGAATATATGATGAAGTGTTGGTACAGTAGGTTCAGCTTGAACTAGGAAGCAGTTCTATACTTCGATATTTGTGGCTATGACTTCATTATTGGACATAGAGGTTCCCCTCCATTCAGTTTGGTTAGAAAGCAATCTGAGAAATACATAGTTTGCAGTTCTCTGATAATCTACATTCTTTATGTTCACAAGTGTGTAAAACCACGTGCTACCAGAATACTAGCTAACATTTAGGGTCTTCACAATTTGCGCTATGTTCCATTGGCATTAAGAATGTGCGGGCAGTTCAAATTCACATTCCTGTTTCTCACAAATCCCTGCATCACTCCATGAAACCAGGAGGTTCATCATTATTGTTTCAACTTCATCATGTGGCAAGCCAGAATAACACCCATGCTTATTGAACATACTATTAAAATTTACTGGACTGATCATAGTTAGAACACACCCTGGAAAATTTAAAGTTGTTTCTTGAACTTTAAATGGATGTTTACCAAAGCCGTTCAGACAGCCCAGAATTTTATGTGGGGAAATGCATAGACTCACTTGGTCTAGAAATGGATGGTGTAGCTATTCATCTTAGTTAAAAATGACCTCCCTTCTCTCCCCAGTGATCTCGGAATGAAATCTACACACTTGACCTCTTGAGAATTCCCAGTCCTTTCTTCTTGCTTTCCATTTGTCTTGCTATCTTCAACCCTCAATGTTAATTAGATAAAAATGCTCTGGCATCAGCACCTCTCTTTCAAACCACGGGGACCTATTTCATCCCCCCTACTGGTAAGCTGGAAGTTTAGACAAATGCCCACAGATTCACTTAGAACTCCATCAACTGAACGGTCAAGCTGGTGAGATAAAACACACACTTGCAAATGAGCTTTTAAAATAGTGCGGCATGTTGCAGAGGCCTCATGTGGCTTTGTGGAGAATTCTAGACTTACATCATCACTTTGTTTTTCATCTTAAACAGTAGGATATGGGATTGATTAAAAAAGAAGTCTGTGTGATGTCCAGTTGCATTCCAAAGCGTTTAACCCATTGAAAGTCTATTATATACAACCACTATTTTCTGCTGTGAATTAAAGGTGTAGTTAGAGTTTCATCGGTAGTTTTGTGTTCACTTGGGTAAATAAATAGCTAATTTTCAGATTACCCACTCTGATTTTTTAAAACCCCTGTCTTTCCTGTGTGGTAGAACGCCGCAGGAGCTGCAGAGCACACAGTCCGATCCTGTCACCTGTGTGCGAGAGACAACTAGCGACGCAGAGTGCTCCTGGAATGAAAAAGAGGACAAAGAAGACAATAGTGATGGTCAGCAAGGCTTTCAAAAATCTATCATTTAAAGTGACTTCCAGCAAGCTTTAAGTAGCCTCCTTTTATCTCCCAGATGAGAATCAGGGATGCTCTCTTCTCATCCTCTAGACTGACTTTGCCTCAAAGAGTTTCATTTAAAAAGTGAATACTAGTTGGGCACTAGTAGCTCACAACTGTAATCCTCACCATGTGTGTGGTGGTGGGGCGGAGGTGAGGGCTGAGATTGGGAAGAAGAGAGTTCAAGGCCAACCCCAGGCAGAAGAATTTGTGACACCACTCTTAACTGATAGCTGGATACAATGGTACCCACTTGCTGTTCTAGGTCAGGCTAGACTCCATTTGGGGAAGACCAGCTAGAGATGATAGGGCCTGCTTGTCATCTCAGTTATAGCAGGAAGCCTAAAGTAGATACCTCAAGGTCCAGGCCCCTTCCAGGAAAAGAAGCAAGACCCCATCTGAATAAGAACCTGTACAGAAAGAGCTGGAGGTGTGGTTCAGTAGTAGAGCACCTACCTAGTAAGTGTGAGATTCCTGAATTCAAACCCAGTACCCCACTAAAAAAAAATAAGAAAATGAATGGTAAAAATCTGCATGGTTTTCCAGAACTGGAAAAACTGCCAATGTTTCTATGTTTGTATCGATGCCTTGGAAAAGATGATTCTTGCATTGCTTGCAGAATTATGACATAAAAGGAAAGTATCAGATGAGAAGTAATCAGATTCTTTGAAATTATCAGAGAAAAGAAATGATCAGATTCTTTGGTGGTGATGTCTCCAATATTGTTTTCTAGATGAGGAGATCAAAATACAGTATCCTACTCCTTTTCTGCCAATAGAAGAAATAAAATTAGAGAGATTTGAGCCATCGCTAACGATAATAGAATTGGATGATGTAAGTGCCCAGCTGCTATTCACATTCCTCAACAAACAAAATCCATGAACCTACAGTTATACCTCCATATTATTGTCGATGCAATTTCTTACATAACTCTTCTAAATTTAAGAGAAATTTATATATGTTTAAATTTAGACACACTAACAAAAATAAGGCAGCATATTTTTTAATATAGAGTGTAAATTTGTGAGCTAAATTGATATTTCTACTTCATTTTGGAGGTGAGAAGACATTGCACTGTGCTAACTTATGGGATGTAGTTTGGTGTTCGGTTGGTTTAATGCTGTACTTTATCTGGCTTTTATATAAACCTCAGTTTTTTTTATATAGTGTATGTTAAGTAGAATCGAAATAAAAATGTACTTTATTGTCTATATAAAGGAAGAAGTAGCATTTAGGATTTAAGAAGTTTATTATCTCAGTAAGTTGTACAGGAATCCCTAGTAGATACAAATAGAATCATCTAGAAGTGGGGTCCATCAGACAGAGCTAAGAGCCTCTGGCTAAAAATGGCTTAGGATTTGACAAAAATCACTGCATTTCTGAATTTCCAGTAGTCCAGTAACAAAATTAACCATTTGTCTCAGAAAATAATTAGAATGAAGAAAGTACCTGTTCAATGCTTTCTCTTTTTTTTTTTTTGTCATTCATAGGGGTCAGAGTCTGTGTGCTGTATCTGATCTCTTTTTGCCCAAGTCTAGTGCTCTACCACTTTTGAGCTGCAGCTCAACTTCCACTTTATGGTGGTTAATTGGAGCTAAGAGTCTCATGGACTTTCCTGCCCAGTCTGACTTTGAACTGTGATACTTAGATCTCATCCTCCTGAGTTGCTATGATTACAGGTGTAAGCAACTCGCACCTAGCCTTCTTGTTTGGGTTGGTAGTTGGTGACATTCTCGTTTGCTTTTCTCTCATTAGCATCATTTCATTCTTCCTCTGGGTTAGTTTGACATATTGAGCAAATACCCACATATATACACATGCATACACACATACATGCTATTTTTTATTTTTTACTGCATTGAATACATTTATGACATAGCAGTCAGAGAACTAGGAACCACTAAATCATGATTTTACTTGATGCTTAGTAGTTACCTAATAAAGTACATGTTGTTAACTGCAGGCTCCATGTGCACTAGTTGTGACAAAGTGAATGACAATTCCAGCACCCTCAACAACAAAAGAGTTGGATCTGCTTAGTTCTCCTAGAATTGCAGGCTATAATTAGACTACTCATGATGTCATTTGTTGGGAGAAAATACTCTTAAATAGCACCCATTAGTAGCTGGCTACTGTATAATAAGTCTACTAAAGATACTAATATAATGTTGCATATGTTTAATAAGACTTGTGAAGAGGAACTGGAAGAACAGGGAAATGCTGTGCCTTACAAAGTTGAACTGGTTGATTCAGACAGTCAACTAAGGTAAGATCTTTCTAAATCACTTGGGGTGTTTACTAAAAGCCTAATGTGAGTTCCAGGTATATTTTAGATATGAGACCCTTGTCCTCATGTTAGGTTTTACAAGGTTATGTCGAAAAATGAACTTTACAACTTTGGCCGGGAACGGGGTAGTGGGGGGGAGAGGGGAAGAGGGGAGCAGGAGATGGGGGTGTGAGAGATGGGAAGGGATGGGAAGGGGAAACAAAGGAGGAGGCAACAATGCTTGATAAGACTCATTACCTTGCCCATGTTATTGTAACCCCTCTGTAACAGTATTTTCACAATACAAAACCAACCAACCAAACAAACAAACAAAAAAACCTAACGTGAAAATCAATGAACTCTTTCAGTGAGAAATTCATGGGGTTGAACATCTGCCTTTAGTGTTAATTTCACTTATTCATTCTAAAAACTTTGTGTATAACAATAAGTATAATTTTTGGAGGGGAAGGGAAAAAACAAGTTGTTTAAATAGGGATACAAGTAAACCCATTATAACAATGAGATGTATAAGACGTTATATCGAACAATGAACTTTACAACTTTGGCAGGGTGGGGCACGTGGGGAGGGTTTGGGGGGACAGGGGAGCATGGAGAGGAGAGATAGGAAGGGATGGGAAGGGATGGGAAGGGGAAACAAAGGAGGAGGCTACAATGCTTGATAAGAAATGTACTCATTACCTTGCTCATGTAATTGTAACCCCTCTGTATGGTATTTTTACAATTAAAAAATATGTGACATCCATCTTCTTCAATTGAAAGAAATGGACTCCAGTGATAAGTTTGTATTGTTGCTTCATTTCTGGATTGATTAGTAGGTTGTTAAGAATTTAGGTCATGTATTTCATATGAACATTATCCGTGAAAATTGCTCTTTATTTAGTTTGCTATGGACCCTAAATAAGAGGTATGGAAATGATGAAATGGAGAGATTAAAAGAGTTTCTTTACTTCAGATTACTTCCTAGGTAGATTTTAATATCGAATAAACTAAATTAATTAAGAATAACACTTTACTTTGTAATTGTTTTGTAGAATTTTATCATGGCCAGTATGAAAAATAATACTTTGTTCTATTTGTTACCAATGTTTCAATCAATATTTCCTTGCCTCTCCTTTTGCCATTGACAATGATAAAGTTAGGTGTTTTGTCTACCCATTATTGACTTCAATAAAAAGTAGATTCTTCATGACCTCTGATATATTCTTTTCGTCAAATCAACTTGGGCCTTTCTCCATTTTCTGTGACAGCTCTGGGTCTAATAGTGGCTTTTGCACATACAAGCATCTCCGTCTCTACACATAGATCCAGATATCTGCCATTGATCAATGTGCGTGGGAAGGCAGCATGTGGACAGGAAACAGTTTTCCTCATTAGTAGATAAAAGGTTTTTATTCACTGTGGAATCCTCAAGGAAATGAATAGCATTTTTGCTAATTCTAATTCATGTACATGCATATGTCTGTATATGCACATATTCTTGCTCTTTATTTCCATGTACAATATCAAAAGAATTGGCAAAAGTAATAAATCAAGATGTGGTAGTAGTTTCACAGCTGAGTTTAAAGTACTCATGGAATTATATTTATCTCTTTCCTCATGATCATGAGTATTGACACAAGAGGAAATTTTGGTGATGTATATATCCATGATTTTTTTTCATGGTACAATGTAGAACTTGTGTAAATATCCTTCTACTAAATGTAATATTTGATTCAGAGTAAATGTTATTGAAATGGATAAGTATCCTTATGGAGAATAATAATTACTCATATCAAAATCTAAGTACTAATGGTACTATTTTATTTTATTGTTTGTTTGTACTGTGGTTTTACAATCAAGGTCTTGAATGTACAAGGCTGGTATTCTACCATTGAGCCATATCTTTAGCCCTGACTTTTTGCTCTCCGACATGGTTAAGTGCTTGAGCCATGATGCATCTACTTTAGGCCTCCATTCTTTGTTGGGATCAAGATGCATTAAATTGATTGTTTGGTGCCTTCTAGAAAAATGGAGTATCAGGAACTTTTCTACCTGGCTGGCCTGAAATCACAGACTTCCCAATCTTAGCATCCTATGTAACTAGGATTATAGTCCTGGGGCTCTGCCTCACGGTTATTTCCTGAACAAATAACATGTTCATGTGTTAAACCATCAAATTTCAATGAGCTTTATGGGGACTTCGCCATTTGGAAGAAGGAATGTGCAAAATCAAACATTTTATGCATAGCTATCTATTGAAATTTTGTAGCAAAATTGAATTTGATCAGTTACTTATTCCATTAACACATATGATTTATTTATCTGTAGTTCGGACTATGTGAACAATAAAGCTAAAACCAATAGCAAGGTACAAAACTGACATTAATATTGAGGAATCTTTGTTTTAAAAACCAGACTATTTTATAGTATGTATTTTAACTTTGCAATTGTGCTTGTCTTTGAACCTGGAAGTTTTATATTTCCTGATTGTCAGAAGAGTGGTTTTCCCTATGAAATCGACATCTATCAACATCATGTTACAAACAAGGGGAAAACAGACTTCTCAAGTTTTTGCCTGAGAAGCAGCTCTTCTCAAAGCAAAGTTAATTTCCAAGGTACTGTTTCCTCTTTTTTTTTTTACGATTATCTACAATGATGTTAGGAATCCAGTAGGACAGATAAATTCTGGAGGCTATAAAAGTTTGTCCCATTCTGCTTATTTTAAGATAAGAAAATACATCCTTTAGAAGAAAATGGATCCAACATATAACATGGTGTAGCAAATTCTCTTCTTAGTTAATGGGATAATGTACACCAGAAAAGAGCCAATCTTGAGTTCTTTCTAAAAGATATTCTAGACTCAATTAGCAACAAAAAGATTAAATAGATGAACTTGTACTGATAACAGTCATACTGCCAACCTGTTGTCCTTACTTTCAACTAAATATTTCCTTGTGCTTGAAATATTCCCTTAAAAATGAGGTAAATATTTGTAGAAGATAAAGCCTACAACACATTTTCTTCATGTGTCGTTGTTACTAGGAGTTCCTTGGTTCTCCAGATTAGTATACTATGTGCAAATGCCTAGTTTTACTCTCCTGATTGTGAGAAGGCTTTCTAGAGTTATGGTAAGTTATCTTAGGCCAGGAGTCAGCTTTGGTGTTCATTCATCTCACTCTGAATCAGCATCAAATGTCATTGCTTCCCTTATACCTAATTTTGTTGATCTCAATATAAGAACCAGATAATCTCCAATCTTCCTTTCCACTCAAACATTACACCTGACTGATCCAACACAAAGAAAAAGGATATTTCTTATGTGAACAACCTGAGAGATTCTAGGAGTACTATAATTTGTAAACTTCATGATTACTTTCCAATTGGGATAAGAGAAAGTAGGAAATAGGTAGATATAGGGGAATCTTTCTGTTCTGGCCATTGTCAGTGACTAGAAGCTCTTAAATCTTTAGGGCCAAGTATGAACTGCACCTGCTTTGTAATTCAGGCCTTTATTATGCTCCAGATCTGATCAGAAATGAGTGTTGTTTGACAGGGGAGTATCAGATTCCAATATCCCATGGGAAAAATAATGACCAAATAATTCTTAAAGACATTTTCAAATGATTTATTCTTAGAGTTGTTTTCCATGTGTATCAGAATTGAGCAGAAATCATGGTATTCCTGTAGGCCTTCTAACCCCACACCTGCATTTTCAGGATCACCACTGTACCACATGGTGTTTGCAATTTTACCAATAAACAATATTCAATTAATCAACTGTAAATGTCTTGATTGATTTCCTTACTGAAGGGCATATTGGCTGTTTGTAGGCTTTCTCAATTATGAATGAAATTGATATTCACAACCACGTGTGGACTTTTAATAAGACTATTTTATTGCATTTGGGAATATACCAAGGGAAATGTAAAAGTATAGTGGGCTTAGAGCTAGGTGTTTGTGGCTCATGACTATAATCATAGCTTTGCAGGAGGCTCAGATCTGAGGATAACAGTTCGAGGCCAAATTTAGCAGAAAATTCAGAGAAATTTGTATAGCAAAATGCAGGACTAGAGGTGAAGTCCAAGTGGAAGAGCATGAGTCATGACAAAAAAAGTTGAGCTAAAGTTTCAGAAACAGTACCAAAAAATAGGGTATATTTAGGTTTGTAAGAAATGGACAAAGTGACTACTCAAGTGGCTACAAAGTACCTCAACCACTTTTTATGGCAGTGTTTCAGATTTATTCTCCTCTAGTACTTGTGATGGCTCATTGTTTGGTTTACAAATCCTTAATGACATATGCTTTCAAATGTTTTTTTTTTTTTTTGGTAGTACTGGGGCTCACACTCAGGGCTTTATTTCTTCCACACTTTTTCCACTCACAGCTGTTAGTCTACCACATTGTTAGTCTACCACATTTCCAATTTTGTCTTTTTCCTGGTTAGTTGAAGATTTACTGGTTAGTTGAAGTTTCTCTGATTTGTCTGTGCAGGCTAGCTCTGAATCTCAATCTTCAGATCTTAACTTCCTGCTAGGATTACCAGAGGGAAACACCAGTCAGCATTTTGAACAGTTTTTAAAACATTTATTTGTGTACATATGTGTGTGTAAAATGTGTGTATGTGTATAGGACAAATATATTTATGTGTATATAAAGACCCATATAGACATGTATTCTAAATTTTACTGCAAAATAGCTTCTTACCAACTTCATTAGTCTAGTTCATTAGCATATGACTATAAATAAATTGTGCTTGCCACTTACGAATATAAGCATAGTGGAAGTATTTTAACATTGAATCCTCAGAAACGAAATTATAATAGAGTTTTGATAAATCAAATCTGGGATTATGAACAACTTAATCAAGTGACTGAAATCCATTTGTTTACCTCTTGTAAATATGTGCTTTCCACAGCGGGCCTGTCAGAGACAGATGCTGACAGCACCGTGGATAAACATGTTCATTCATTTGACATGGACAACCCAGGGGAAAGTAGTACTCACGCAAGAGATGGAAGAGAAAAATCTATCAGCATGGAAAGTAACAAAACACCGAATGATGGCTGTGCGGCACTGGTGAGCAAGGACTCCTTTGTCAGAATCGATGTGAATACACCTTCCATGGAGGAGAAGTCATGTGACGACATAGTTCCAGGGGAATTCTCCGAGTGCAGCAACCTGCATGGAAGGCCTCACCTGGGAGATTCTAAAGCTCCAAAGTCACCACCGGTAAGTGTCTTTTATACTTATTGCTGTAATGATTACGTGCCTAAACACTCTCTGAAGAAAACGTCACTTTGATCCAGTGCATTCTTATATGTTCCTGTGTCCTACAGCTGCACTTACCATCAGCTAACTCAACATCAAATGAAGAGCAACTTTTATTGATGAGGAAGAATAGTTAGGATTTACAGAACTCATTCTAACAGGGAGAGTGCAGTTTTAATAAAAATCATTTCTACTCCAAAGAAATAGGGCTCAAGTGACTCATTATTATCACATGTAAAATTATATTTAAAATTTATTCTATATGCTAGAATCTTCAGTAATTGTGATAGTAATAAGTGACTTGGAAATTGGATAAATTACACCTTTTCATAACTCTTTATATTTATTGAAAATGGATTTTTTGGAGACTGAACTCAAAAGTGAACAAAAATGCCAAGGAAGGAATATTATGGCTGCTGCTATGATATTTCAGCTTGGGGAGCTGGCTTTCTGATCCCCACTTTGTCACAGATGTGGTAACACTGGGTGACTTCTATGGGAGTTAAGTCCTCCATGGAAATCCCAGAATCTTAAAGGTCAGCTGGGGAGAAATGACCACAGGGGAAACATGGGGAAAGGAGATGGAAGCCTGCAATTTATAATTGGCTGTGCATTCTGACTTCTTTCCTCTCATGAAAAAAAATTAAACCAGCTTATGTGGTTATGTTTGCAGGTGAAATTTTAAGAAGCTATAACAAAATCGATATTCTAATTGTTCAACTTTTGGTGGAACAGGTAAAAAGCAAAAATCTCTCCAATGTTTTCCCAGGCTACTTTAACTTTGATGGAGAAATTGGGAAAAGACTATACCCAACTCCATAAATTAAGATGTCAGAGCATAATAGCAACTCTACTCCAGGATGTTATGTACCAAAAACAACAATAAAAGCCCTCTATTTGGAAAATCCAGATACTTAGTGGGCATCATAAAATTATGATAAATATTTTTAAAATTTATGAATAAAGTATACATTCCATTATGCTAACACAAGATGTCTTATACACTCTCACAGATACATAATCTATGTTTGCAGAATGCAAAGTGATACAGTGATTAAAATGAAGGGAATACAACTACTTCCATTAAGACAGCTGACATGTTTCAGTTTAACTGTAGATGGATTTGTAGAGTGTAAATGTCACACCATTCTACAAGCATTTACAACCATCACAATTTTTTATGGATACTCCTAAGGAAATGGTTATTTTAAAACGCTTTGAAATAGTGTATCAACACAACATAATATGCAATTAAACTCAATTTATAAAAACTAAAGGGTCTTTTAAAGTATAGTTTTTATAGTTTTATACTTTTATAAAGTATAGGTTTATAAAGTATCTATGTCTAAAACAAAATCTTAAATTCAAGTGGGCTGGCTCTTTTTATAAATAAAGTAATATTTTAATGAATTCCAGTGTAATTGTAATTGAGAAGTAAAAAATAGTGGCAATATTTTCACACACAAACAAATGTCTACCTTTTGTAATAAGCAATGTTTCCTGAGTAGTAAGGAAGAGTGGAGAGAAAGACAATCTATCTGTCTGATGAATTATTGGCAAGTCCCAGCTATGGAGACCTTTAACAGAGTTAAGGAGAGAGCCACCCATAGGAGGTCTGTAAACCAAGAACTTTCTAGACTGGCCATAGGAAGCATTGAGTTCTCAATTAAGTTTACAGACTGCATTCTTGCTTTGGGAGAATTCATTAAATCCGTTCTGATTAGACTTGAACTGTTCTTTTTCTTCTTTTCCTCTGGTAGAAGCTATTTACTGAGTAGAAAGCATGTAGAAACCCATCCTATTCCAGAAAAAATGATCATGATCCAAGAAACAAGGGTGTTTTTTAGCTTCTGTGTTTCCTAAAAGAATCTGAGTACTACAACTGTTCCTTTGTAAAGGGGTGTGTGTGTGTGTGTGGAACATTCTATTAGGTCATGCATTAAGTTGTGTGCAATTAAGAGTATTCTTGGTTCTAGTTCTGAAACATCCACTTGAATAAAAATGAAAATGCAGCCACTATAAGTTTTTGGATGAATAAGCCAAGACTTTGAAGATATTCCCACATTTACAGTTGTATAATACAAATGGGAGCTTCTTAGGGCTGAAGGAATTTGATATTTGATGATCAAAATTTGAGAGAGCTGGGAACAATGTCCTGGAAGAGCAGACTTGGATTTGTCTTTGAATGTCATGCATAACTGATTGCTAGTTTGGAATTCTTTTCATTTGTATGGTTTATAAATTTATATAGAGCTATAGAAGTTGGTTGTGCATTGTTTAATACTTTGACACAGACTATTCTTGGGCATTAATTGGGTTATTTAGGGAACTGTTAATACCAGTAACTTCTCTGATTGTCAACTAGAGAGCCTCTGTATTATCAATTTGTTTCCTTCTATATTGACATACTTTTAAAATCCCTATTTCTAGTCTTCCCCACAACAAGAGGTTATACCAGAATGGATTGTTAGAGTATTAGCATAAACCTAAGCTTCAAATGAACACAATCTCTATTTAAAACTTAATCCGATAGTTTCTAGTTACAGAAAATCTGTTACTTCTTTTCTGATTGCCTCAGGTTCTTAGTCGTGTATTTGCTTCATGATTATTATTTTGGTAATTGCATATTTTTATTTATGACTATTATCAAATCTGATATAGTCTAATTGGCAGTTTACTTTCATCTTTTGAAATCACTATATATTTAGACACTAGTTAAGGACAGTAGTTAAAAGACACTGTGTACTAAAGGGACTATGCTCAGATAATTTTTGTAGAAAGGTACAAATGGAAGAAAATGAAAGAAGGAGACAGAAAGGAAAAAAATTATTTCCTAAACTCATGTCTTCCTTAGATTGATGGCAACTTTCAGATAATTATGGTTTATATACTTCTCAGAACATTTTGTATATAAACACTGTGTTAGTATGTCTCCATGATTAGAACATAAATGCTAGAGCAGAACTTGGACTAGTATGTGGGAAGGTGTTTCAGTAAACAAATGCTCTTCTTTGTTATAATAAGGGAGAAAATAAACTTATTTTTTGAATATTTTGTTTCCTAGTTGTTAAAAGAAATAGCCCTCAGAAGTAAACCTATAACTGAACAATACCAAGGACTTGAGAGATTCTTTACTGTTAATAACGATGAAAGACTCAACTTACCTCCTTCTCATGAAAGCTTAGAAAGCAACCATTCCTCTACCCAGGTTATGATCACAGGTAAATATGGAATTAATCTAATAATTAATTTAAATATGGACCAATCTAACAAATTTCTCAGTTTTTTCAACCTAAACATTAAGTTTTTTTTTGCCATTTATGTGAGGGTTTCATTATTGCTTCTTGTATTCTCCTTTATTGGCTAAATTATGCTGTTTTTATTATTATATCTGTGGTATAAGTTAAGAAATAGAAATGTAAATCCTTCAGTTCTTGTTTTGTAAGCTTGCTTTGGCTGTTTAGAATGACTTGTGTTGATATATGAATTTTACACTATTTTTTTCTATTTGTGCAAAACAATGTCATTGAGCTTCTGATAAGAAGTGGGTGGCAAATATAAATTCTTTGTGGTCACCTGATGTGCCGCACTATTAGGTCTTGTGGTCCAAGCGGAGGGATAGGATTCACAATGACATCCTCTTATCATTTTGCCATTCTAGGAGGCAAAGAATGGGTTCCAGACAGGAGTATAAGTTCGCATGTGGACAGTGTGGTTACCTCAGGTGTTGTGCAGAATCCATCACCAAATATGAAGTCACAAAAGAGGGGTAAGACCTGAAGCAACACAGCAATGCCACGTTGGCTCTGTTTATAGAAGTTTGCTGTGCATTGTTTAACCGGTTGACACAGACTATCCTTGGGCATTAACTGGGTTATTTAGGCAACTGTTAAATACCAGTAGCTTCTCCGATTGTATGTTTGGTTCAACTAGAGCGCTTCTGTATTACCAATTTGTTTCCTTCTATATTTATTTTTTAAACTCCTGTGCCTGGTCTACCCCACAACAAGAGGATATACCAGAATGGATTATGATTTAGTCATTTGTTTCTTAGCAGTTCACCAGGAAACTGAATATTAGTTTTTGCAGTAATATTCCATCTTATGATGCAATAAACATAGCTTTTCTTGAGCTTTTCTTCTAAAACCAACCATCTAACCAGTCAGCCAACCAATCAATTGTAAATACAAAAAAGGGAAAAAAACCACCCTAAAAGCGAGTATATACATTATTCCTCTCAAAAATGAACTCCTAAAGATTTAGTCTTTTTTTTCTCTAATAATGAATTAAGGAATGATATTTGTAAAACAGTTCCAGATATAGTCCATTTTGAGCAATACTCACAGAACACACTCCATTTCTTTTCATACTGGAGCAGCATTGGGTTATGCCAGACATCCTGCACTGGTGAACTAAGGCAAGTCAACACAAACATGATGGGTGTGCGATGAGTATGCTTAGCCCTGGGGACAGATGCCTTGCTCACATTTTCTTGGTCCTAGAAAGCTCACAGAAAAGGAAGGATAATTAAGAAGGCAGGGATTTGCCTTGGTTTAAAACTTCTCCAAGCCAGAAACTTAATTTCATATGATTTGCAGGCACATTTATATATAAAATATATCCATAAGTATATGTATGCATGTATCTATCGATCTAGCTATATGATTTATGTCTGTCTTACCTCACATACAAGAATACATCTCTTTGCTTACCCTTGATCATTTCTGTATGCCCCTATGTTGTGAATTCATCAGACACATTTTTTTTTTGCAGTAGAAAAACCACCTATTTATGACAAATATTTTTTGGCTTTATAATTTGGCACCTATTATCACATTAATTCTAAAGCAGTCTGAAACATCCTGGCATCTTTTGAGACAGTCCAAATGAACTGCTTCAAGTGGCTACAAATCATTCAGATTAAATGCATGTGCATACTCTGAGATGTGTGTGTGGTGTGTGCATGCATGCATGTGTCCTCTAGTACTGCAATGGGGCTTGAATTCACGGCCTGGACACCATCTCTGATCTTTGTTGCTCAAGGCTAGCTCTCTACCACTTGAGGCACAGCTTGTATCCTTTTGGTGGTTAGTTGGAGGTTAAGGGTCTCACTGACTTTCCTGTCCAAATGGGCTTATAAATGCAATCCCCTGGTCTCTGCCTCTTGAGTAGCTAGGATTATAGGAGTGAACCACAGACACCTGCCCGCCACCAGCTCCTGGCTCTGAGAAATGTGTTGCAAACGTACATCTTAACAAATGCTTTTAAAGTATCAATTTGAACAGATCAGTCACAGTCAGTAATTGCTATTAGAAACATTAGGTCCACTTAACTTTCAGCTAGGCACTGCCAGACAGAGACGATATTTGATGTGACTCAGCCCTGTGTCCTGACTCAAGAACTTAGAAGCCAGTGTAAGAGGTTTTCCCAGGTCAATGATAGCAAATCACCTGGAAAAATCCAGTCCTGCAGATGCCACATTCTGGAGATCACTGTTAAACAAGTAGATTTCTTTAGACTGGGAACAGATTCTTTTATCCAACAACTCTCTGTTAGATCAAAGTTCATATTGTGAGCTTGTGCCAGCGAATAAAGGGATGCCACCTCCTGTAGGATCTCAAATTTTCTAAGTGTAAAAATATGGTAGCTACTAAAGTGGTATTCAGCATCTAGTCCATTGATTTTTTTTTTCTTTACTCCAGGCTAGTAGCTACCCCTCCCCGCCCACCTTCCTGACTCCATCCTAGAAACATACTTAGTCTGACTTTGGAATCACCTTGGCTCCTACTTGCCCAAGCAGCTGCCACACCTTTTCATTAGTAAAAGCTGATGATTTCTGTTTCTCAATCCAGCCCAAGTCTACCCACTTCACCTCCATTGTGCTTGTAAACCCCAGCCAATTACTACCATCTCTCACCTGCCTTCCAAGTTCCCTTGAGCACTTTTCCCAAACCACCTTGCTGTGGTTTATTTTCATCAAGAGCTACTATTTACAGCTAGTGAGTAAATTGTTGATATTTATAGTTTGAAAATATTTCTATTTATTTCTATTTATATATTTATCCATAGCATATCATTTCTGCAGAGTGAATCATACTTTCTGTAGGTTGTGACCATAAATAGAATCATGTTATTCTGCTGTCTACAAGGATGCTTCCTACAGAAGGTAGTAGCAAATTACCTTCCTTCCCATACATCCACAGCCATACCAATGGCTTCTTCCCCACTGAAGTCACACTGGTTTCTGTCTGTTCCATCAGGCCAGGCTCTGTCCTCATCAGAAGGATGCCCCACAACCTCCCACTCCCTCCTTATACAATCAGTTCTTAATCGATTCTTTCTGCAATTGATTCTTTCCCACTCCTGAGTGACAGTCCAGCTGCTGGCTCTCTAGAGAGATGTTTGAGACCCTTCTATCCTGTCTGGAGTCTCTCTTGTCATTTTCATCTTCCTCAGAGAATCAGTCGTGGTCATCTGGCATTGTCTTAGATATTTCTGCTGTCTCCCAACTTGGTTAGAAACGGAGTGAGTGCCAACCTGCCCTGTTCAGGACCTGGCACACTGCAGCATCTCAGCCAGGGTTTCTGAATGTGGGAACTCAGATCTGTGAGTTCAGGAAGAAAGTGCTGGTAAAACGTGAAGACTTGAAGCCAGACCTTTGGTCTGACCGGCCCAGTTCACTTCCAGTGTAACTGTCAATGTTCACTTCCTTATGTAACTCCAGAACTCTTAACAGTTCACTTGCTGTTCTGCTGAGATGACTAGTCCTCACTCTTCAAGATGGAACAAGTATATCAATACACACAAATGCTTGAAAACATTATTTTTTAAATATTGGGTTCTTGGTTCACAATGATATTATTATGTTACTAAAGTGATGTTGAAACAATTTTGTTTCATTAAATGCTCCTGTTACATTTAAACTAGCAAGTGCACTGTGGTGGCATTGAATACGATCCAGAGAGTGATATATTTTTTCATATTCTTACCAGCATTTTTGTGCCCACTAATATTATTGGGATTTATCTATCTAGTGTTCATTGGAGTTTCATTAACTACATACTGAGCATCTATCCTTTAGCTAAATCCAAGGAAAATTTATTTTGTTATATTTATGGTGTAATGGATTCTTATTAATCATTTCTTAAGATTACATTGCCAGTGATAGCACAAGTTATTCCAAAGGTAATATTTTATGGTTGTAATGTACAAATGGGGCTATTTATCATCATCATCATCATCATCATTATTATTATCATGGTGTGGTCACTTCAACAGAGGCATTTTTCATTAGTGCCATCTTAATGTTGGGTCCAATCTGTACCTTGGCAATAATATTAATAAGCTTACGAATTTAAAGACAGCAGAGAATGACTTACTTACCTCAACAAGAGAATAAATAAAATCAAGGACCGAATTGGGGCTGCTTCTATTTCGTTATCTGTTTTTGGTTTCTGTAGACCACCCTGGAGTGCATGTCTAGTAAGAAAGATGTTCAGTCTCCTGCTGCATGCTAAGCCTTAGTCTGACCCATCCCCTGTGTGTATATTTTTTTCCTCAATTGGGCTCAATTAGCCTCAGTAGCTGTGCTATCCAGATGCTGCTGTAAGAGTTCAGCTACTGTTGTACTCTCCTGAGTTTTCTGAAGGGCATCTATGTTATTTTAAATTTTCCTCACTTCCTGTTTTCCCTGCGTTGGCAGAAGTCCAGTCCTTGCTAATAATATCTTCCGTTTGTTCCTATTTTAATAAGCGTTCTGAATTGAATTAACTTTTGCCTTGGTTGAGACCTACCATAAGGAATGTCGTTTCTTCATAGACCAGGCCCTTTGCATTCTGTAGAGAATTTGTGTTGTAACCCCAAGCTGGAGATGTTCCTGTGGCATTTCTACTGGGGCTTCCCAGCTAGGAGTGGTAAGCTTACTCTCCTTGGTAGCTGGGAAGGAACTATTTATTCTTTGCATGCTGTGAATAAAATGGGAAGCCTCTTCCAGATTCTGTGCATGAAAAGGATGCTTTGGAAAGAGGCAGAGATAGGAACACCACAGCACAAGCCTGGTTTGGTAAAGAGCTAAGAAGTGTCCGTCACAGAAGCTAGAAGTGGTAGAAGTCTCCAGTGATCACAGCTAGTTGAGTGGGGGGAAAGCTGGTGAGTCATGGTCTGAGACTAACTGGGATGAAAGTATAAGAATGTATCTAAAAAAAACCCCAACTACTAAAAAGATTGAGGGTTTGGCTCAAGTGGTTGAACACTTACCCAGCATGTATAAGGCCCTTAGTTAAATCCCAAATCTCTACCAAAAATTCCCTTAACCATATGTGTACATATGATACACAATACTCACATGGACATACGTTATATACACACAGATAGAGACATCTGTGTCTATGCATATATGCTTATACACACATGTGGATATATAAATACATACATGTGTTAAATATCTCTATATAAATGTATATACATGTGTATACACATGATATGACTTATGTGAATATAGGGATAGAGTATTGTCAGTCATTTTTCTTCAGAATAGTCTCTGAGCACAAATACCCCTGAGGTTTCTCAGAACCAGATGAACCCTGTCAGTACAGTGTTTCTGCACCTTTAAAAGTACAGGAAAGTACCACATGGGGTAGCAGAAAATTACCTGATGTTCTAGGAAGCTAGAACTTTGACTTCAATGGCTTTGGAGCTTGGGTTTTGCTAACGAACTGACATATACTTTTTCCAATGGTCTATTTTTTTTATTGTGAAAATACTGTACAGAGGGGTTACAATTACATGGGCAAGATAATGAGTACATTTCTTATCAAGCATTATAGCCTCCTCCTTTGTTATCCTTTCCTATCCCTTCCCATTCCAATGGCCTATTTTGTCCCCATCTTTTATTAAAAATAAGACCAAACTCCACAGCCTCTAGAACAGGTGGCTCACTAGTAGCGGTGCTGTGTTTGTCCTTAGCATTTCCCAGGCTCTCACAGCACATGATGGTAGAGCTCTGCAACTTAAAATCATGGCTTGGATAGATGTGAAGACTGTGTGTTGCGCAGTGTGATGTTGACTTGTTTTGCTTTAGCTAATACTATTCTTTAATTAAGGGCAATCGGTCTGTCTTCTGATCATAGCAAAACCACTCCGAAGTGTTTTCTTTGTGTGACTCTTGGAAAAGAATTTGAGATTAACATACTTTGGTCAGCCAGAAAACCAAGGCTTGGTTTTCTTCTAAATTGCATGTGTTTTATTTCCTTATATTCAAGGGGCTAGTCTTTTGCATTGTTGAATTTTCACTCGGAAACTTAAAAACAGTTGATTTAATGTGTGTGTGTGTGTGTGTGTGTGTGTGTGTGTGTATGCTGGTACGAGGGTGTGAAATCCGGGCCTTGATCTTATTCAGCTTGCTTGCTCATAGATAATATTTCATCATTTGACCCATGACCTCAGCTCAACCTTTGGCCGGCCAGCTGGGCACTAGAGTCTCCCAGACTTTTTCCTCAGACTGGCTCTGAACCTTGATCTTCTTCATCTCAGTCTCCTGAGTAGCTAGGATTTCATTTCATCAGCACCCAGATAACTATTATATGTATATTTTTGTATTTTTGTTCTAGTTCAGAAATCACATCGACCTTCAACAGCAAATTTGCCACTTTCCAACTCTGTTAAGAAAAGTTCCTGCCTTTTATCCCCTCGTCCTCGATCCAGCACAATTGCTGCCGGGCCACCATCTAGAGCAGCTTCTGCAATCTCCGAAATTGAGTATGTTGATAGGACAGAGCACAATGAGCCTTCCTTAGATAACGCTGCAGATCTGCAAGCCTTAGACTCCCTACAAGAAGAGTTAAACGTGCTGAGAAATCTTGCAGGTAATGCTATATTTTTCATGCTAGATAATGTTAGCGCTGCCCCTAGCCTCATTCTTTACGTGCTGCTATCACAGAACAAACAAGCATTAAAAAATATTTTCTCTCTTTTATTGAAAAACATCCACCTTTGTGTTTGCTTCCTTGGATATCACCTGGTAACACCTTGGAGAAATGTATTAAATATGTGACTCACAGCCATGCCATAGACAGACCCATTCAGCTCACATAACACGTGACAATGATGGAAGGTCCCTTTCGGGCAGAGAGGAAAAAAGTAATCTTTATATGTCACTCACTTTTTCTCCAGTAGTTTGTTTTTGTTGTTTTGGTTTTTGTTTCTTTTTTTTTAAATAAGTTTTTTCATTGTGAAAATACTATACAGAAGGGTTACAATCATATGAGCAAGATAATGAGTACATTTCTTATCAGGCATTGCTGCCTCCTCCTTTGTTTTTCTCCTACCATCCCTTCCCTCCCACCTCCTCAACTACACTTCCCCCACCCCTGCCTAAATTGTAAAGTTCTTTTTTCAACATAGCGTCTTGTACATCTCCTTGGTGCAATGGGTCAACCTGTATCCCTATTTAAACAATTTGTTTTTTCCCTTCCACTCCCCAAATTATACCAAAGTCAAATACAGTGAAAAAAGGGGTTATACCATGGGGGAGGGACATACAAAGCAACAAAAAAATCGCATGATACCTTATAAATTCATTAGAAACAATAGCAAGCAAGAAAAAAAACACTTGTGTCCTTATCTTGGGGTTCATTTCGGTTAACATTATCTTATCTGACCTTTACTGCTTGTCTCAGATATATATTAGTTATTGTAAATAAGGGAAACCATGGGACCAATGTTCTTTGCACCTGGCTAACTTCACTTAACATAATTTTCCCCAAGTCTTTCCATTTCCTAACTAGTTTAATTTTAAAGTTTTTTCCTTTGCATTTACTGTGCTTATCTCCAGCTTTTCTTCTATTTTAGTATTTATCTGCTTCTCTCTCTATTCTTCATCATTTTCCTTTTTTTTTTTTTTTTGTCGGTCGTGGGGCTTGAACTCTGGGCCTGGGCGCTGTCCCTCAGCTCTTCAGCTCAAGCTGAGCGCTCTACCACTTGAGCTACAGCGCCACTTCCAGTTTTCTGGTGGTTTTATTGGAGATAGGAGTCTCACGGTCTTTCCTGCCCGGGCTGGCTTTGAACCGCGATCCTCAGAGCTCAGCCTCCTGAGTAGCTAAGATTATAGGCGTGAGCCACCAGCGCCCGGCTCATTTTCCTTTTTTTAAAAAATTTATTTTTATTTTTTTTTTTGCCAGTCTCAGGGCTTGAACTCAGTGCCTTAGCACTGTCCCTGAGCTTCTTTTTGCTCAAGGCTAATACTCTACCACTTGAGCCACAGCACCTCTTCTGGCCATTTCTGTGCATGTGGTACTGAGGAATTGAACCCAGGGCTTCATGCATGCTAGGCAAGCACTCTACCACCAAGCCACATTCCCAGCCTTTTTAATTTACTTTTAAAAATTATTATTACAAAGGTGATGTACAGAGTAAGGTAAAAAGTGTCTTTCATTTTGGAAAATGTTAAAATGAAAAGTAGTGTCTTAAAGGGATTCCTTTATTTTTTTTAATGACTCTTTTGGTAGCTTTTTATTGTGTTGTAATTGCAATCCTATGGAAAATCTGAAAGAAATGCAAAAATAATACAAAAAACTCTGCGTATAAAATTTGCCCATTTCAACCCTCTTGGTCTCTGTCTGTCTCTGGGTCTCTCTCTCCCCTCTCTTTCATGCATACACACACACACACACACACACACACACACACACACACAGAGCTCTTTCATAGATATCACCAAAAATGTTTCTGTGCATACTTTCTAAGTGAAGTAAGCCAGGCCCAAAGAAAACATAGGTCCCATGGTTTCCCTTATTTGCAATAACTGGTATACATCTGAGATAAGCAGAAAAGGTCAGATAATATGATGTTAAGTGAAATGAACCCCAAGATAAGGACACAAGTGTTTTCTTTTCTTTTTTCCTATTGCTTCTTATGTATTTATAAGGTACCACATGATTTTTTTTTTTGTGGCTTTGTATGTCCCTCCCCAACAGTATAACCCCTGTTTTCACTGTATTTGGTGTTCGTATAATTTGGGGAGGGAATGGGAAAAAGCAAATTGTTTAAACAGGGATACAGGTGGACCCATTGCAACAATGAGAGGTACAAGACCTTATGTCGAAAAATGAACTTTACAATTTAGGCAATTTGGGGTGTGTGTGTGTAGTTGTGGAGATGGGAGGGAAGGGATGGTGGGGGAAAAACAAAGGAGGACACAACAACGCTTGATAAGAAATGTACTCATTACCTTGCTCATGTAACTGTAACCCCTCCTCTGTACAGTATACTCACAATAAAAAAACTTATTTAAAATAATAATAATTTTAAAGGACAATGATCAAAATAAAAAGTTAACACGGCTACAATGTTATTCTCCATTCCATAGGACTTATTTAATTTTTAAAATATGTTAATAATGTTTGCTACAGCTTTCTGTTCTCTGGCATAAAGATCCAATCAAGAAATGGAAGACCATTATATAACTTCATCTTTGGTGCTTGAAATGTTGTGTGATCTTTGAGATCAATTTTACTCTATTTTTAGTTTGTCTTTGTTACTTCTTTTATAGCCAAAGGATGTGTGGGTTCTAATGTGTGATTTTGATGTACTTTTTTCCATTGGACCCTTGGATTCGTCTGGGAGGGCAAAGTCAGCTTCTGTGTCATTTCTTGGTGTCTTTCTGGCATATGCTTATTGTGGAGTGCTGTGTTTCTATCTTCTATGATAAGAATGATATTAAGTTACTGCTGAACTCCTTGGCCCTGTAGTGAGATTGGCCAGTGTTTTCTATGAGTTTCTGCATGGGGTTAGATTTCTTTTCTTTTTTTTTTTTTTTTGGGTCCACTCGTGGGGCCTGAACTCTGGGCCTGGGCGCTGTCCCTCAGCTCTTCAGCTCAAGGCTAGCGCTCTACCACTTGAGCCACAGCGCCACTTCCGGCTTTTTTCTTTTTGCTTATGTGGTGCTGAGGAATCGAACCCAGGGCCTCGAGCATGCAAGGCAAGCGCTCTACCACTGAGCCACCTTCCCAGCCCCAGATTTCATATTCTTTTAGGGAGCCAGCCAGCTTAAAGATACTGAGAAGAGGACAAGACTGAGATTAGGCTCCAAGGGTAGAACATCTCAGCTTGCTTTCGTTTCTTGAATCTCATTAAACCTTTCCTTTGGATCAGGCTTCAAGCATGCTGTGCCTCTCTGGGGACATCTACAAGTCTCTAGATTTTTTTGTTTTTTATGTTTTTTTTTTTTTATGTGTGTGTGTGCTGCCGAGATCTTGGAGTGTTTTAGAGGCTTTAAACCGATTGTAGATGCACGTTCCTTACGTTCCTTCACTCATGTGTCTCCGGGCTACCGTAGTAGAGACGAGACTTTTGGTTCCCTTTTTTCTTTCCTTTTCCTGTTGCTAGGTTGAGGCCAGGCTATTGGGTGGGTGGATGAGATAAGAGAAAATGCCACCCAGCCACACCATAGTAAATCTTGTCTCTAATTCTGGTTGTCCTGTGTCAAAATTTATTTTGGGAACTCTGTCTCTCTTTGATTCTTTTTTTTTTTTAATTTAATTTAATTTTATTTGTGAACATACTGTACAGAGGGGTTACAATTACATGGGCAGGATAATGCGTACATTTCTTACCAAGCATTGCAGCCTCCTCCTTTGTTTACCCTTCACCTCCCTTCCCAGCCTCCCCCCTCCCTCCCAATCCCAATCCTTCTCCTTCCCCCCCCCAACCCCCCCCCACCAACGTTGTAAAGCTCGTTTTGGACATGACAACTTGTACTTCTCATTGTTGCAACAGGTCCACCTGTATCCTTAAACAACTGGTTTTTCCCCATCTCCTCCACAAGTTATACTGACATCAAATATAGTGAAAGCAGGGGTTATACTGTGGGGGAGGGACATACAAAGCAACAAAGAGATAATCTTATAAATGCGTTAGAAACACATGCATGAAAGAAAAAAACATTAAAATACATATCTAAGGGTTCTCTTTGATTCTTATGCTGTTTGTTTATATAAATAAATGAGGACTCATTAGTTTTTTTTTTTTTTAAGGTGAAGGTTTGTGGCTCATGTGTTTATTCCTTTTTTTTCCCTTTTTGAACTTGGGGGTCTGGGTGCTGTCCCTGAGCGCTTTTGCCCAATGTTAGCTCTCTACCACTTTGAGCCACAGTGCCACTTCTGGTTTTCTGGTGGTTAATTGGAGGTAAAAGTCTCACTGACTTTCCTGCTGGGACTGGCTTTGACCTGTGATCCTCAGATTTCAAACCTCTTGAACAGCTAGGATTACAGGTGTTGAGCCTCCAGTGCCCAACTTATTTATTCCTCTTAATTACTAAACATTGGAATTAATCAACCTGAAAAGAATTCTTAAAATAATTCTTACAATTGCTTCTGAAATGAAGCACAGTCAAGGTCTGAACTAACTCTACAGATCTTAATTGGAAAATACAAGCCTTTTATTTTGACAAACTGATAAATCCCTTTATTTACAAAGAAAAGATAGAAGTAAAGCAATAATAGTGTTTTTTTATTTTCTCTTTAGTTCATTTTAGCTTTTCCATTTTTCTCTATTATTTTTCCTTCTCAAGAGCTTCGTTCTGGAACAGCAGTGCCAGTGTTTTCCCTAGAATACAACACTTCCCCCCGCCCCCCAAGTGGAGGCCTTTGCATAACTTCTGCACTGGAGACCTCTCTTGAGGTTCCTCTACAGAGGCTCACACACGTTAACCCAGGGTTGGTTCACTTCCACAGGGAAGATGGAGTTTGGATGAGTGCAAGTTCTGAGGAAGGGAAGTGCGGTCAGTCATCCGGGTGGACCCAGGAATCACTGAGGTAGCAGTTGCTCAAGTGAATTAAAACCACAATGATTCTACACAAGAAAGATCCCATGGGGGGCAGAACATTCCATCCCTTTCACATCTCATGATGCCGTCTGCAAAACTCTTTGTGAGGTCTGGCTTCAGGAAGCCACCCTTGAACAAAAAGTACGCGTGCCTGCCTCCCATGAACGATGTCTGTGTGATGAGCAACCGTTCTGCTCTGTTTTCTGCTCATCCGGGCTGATGGCCTCCTTTCTCTTCCTAAGCTCCATGAGAAACAAGTACTCCAAAGAGCACAGAGAATAAAAGGCAGAAAATAAACCATTTCTCCTTTCATTCAGGTTGCTATAGCTATCAGAGGCTAGTGCTGAACTGGCTGTGGTGAACAGATGTGTGTGTGTGTTTGTGTGTGTGTGTGTATGTGTGTGTGTGTGTATTTGTGGTTTGTGTGTGTGTGAGAGAGGGGAGACAGAGAGAGCGGAGAGAGAGAGGAGAGAGAATAGAGTTTGCAGGCTACAAATGAAAGTTCTCTGATTAGACCAGAGACAGCAAATCAAGGTTGTTGAAAGCCAGGGCCAGCTCTTAAGAAATCTGGTTTGGAAAGTAGATATCCCTCATTAACTCCATGTTAGTGGACAGATTGTTTTCTTACTTCTTCAGTGTATGTGTGTGGGGGAAAGGGATGGTCCTGGGGCTTGAACTCAGGTCCTGTGTCACACCAAGCTACTTTTTTTTGTGTGTGTTCATGCTTAGCGTGCTCTATTCCTTGAGCCACAGCTTTACTTCCAGCTTTCTGGAAATAGATCTCAGGGACTTTTCTGTTTAGACTATCTTCAAACTATGACAATCTGATCTCGACCTTCTGAGTAGCTAGGATTACAAGCATGAGGTATTGGTGCCCAGGTAAAACCTCTCTCACTCCAACTAATCTCTCTTTTATCTCTCTGTCTCTGTGTGGCTCGATTTCTATGGATCAAAGCTAAATATAATAAAGGATCTACCTAAAACCATTGATGGTTGAATGAAATTATGTATGAATATTCTATTTGGGAAATTTATCTCTATCTTCCCATATAACTGGTAGTGCCTACCCTATAGTCATTCTTCAAACACTGATGAACTACAGAAGAAAGCTTTCAGTGTGATTTCCCACAGACAATAAGGTAGGGTATTCTTATGAGACTTAAGTTTTAGTTGGCTCTAAAAACTGTGTTCTCATGTGTTGCTTCGGGGTTCTATATATTTTTCCTCCCACAGATATCTTTGTAAATCACACACTCTTCCCCTTATTAATGAGCTGAAGGTATCAGTGTAATCTACTTACTGAGGTACCTTATCAGTTTGGAGATATTGTGAAGACCTGGGGAAATTTACAAAAAATGCATTATGAAAAAGTATTAGTAAAAAAAGGCAGTTTAAAATATTTACTTCTTCAGTAGCCCAGAGAGATTCATTTGTTTGAAATTCACAGTTATTTATGGCTTAAGGGTGTTAGTGGGTCTCGAGTCCTCATAGAAATCTTTATGTTTTGCATAAGCCAAGAGCTGGTTCATTGAACTAACTAATCAAGGAGAGAAAGTATGTTTTTCTTAAACTAGAAAAGATACATTGAAAAAAACAAAACTAAACTTAACCTGACCCTGATGGGAACTGGAGCCTCTGTTCACAAGTTGATCATTAAATTATAAATGAAGCTGTGAAGGCCAATAAAGGTGTATAGGTATCAAATTAAGTATCCATCCAGTACAAAGGCAGCAGCTTTGGTGGCTATAATGGCAATCATTCAGCTTCTTGATGACTTCAATTTACAGAAAAGTATTTTAAAAATTAAGTATAGATCAAAGCTGTGACCTTCAGCATGCAAACTTGACAAAATATTAGGCCACCCATACATGAGTAGCAATAATCACTCATTAATTTTACACAGTCTTACTATACAACCTAGGCTGGGTAGTCTTGAATTGGGTAGTCTCTGGCTTTAGCTGCCTGAGGGCTGATGCTAGGATTACAGGCATGCATTACTGAATTTGACTCTTCAGTTGTCCCTAATTGCAATATGTAGGTAAGGCAGTTGCTATTCTAAATTTCTCCTTTTAGGCTCAGCATAGGAAGCTCTGAGCAAGGTAGTGACTTCACAAACACGGGCAGATCTGGCCCTGCATCACAAGACAGAATCACCAAATAAAGTTAAAACTCTCAAATCAGTGTATGTCTATGTAAGAGAGAGCGCAGGCACCATGAATGTAAAGGGATGGAGAAAAGAAGACAAAGAGGCACAAAACCAAAGCAAAACACTGAGAACCTGTCAGTTTTGTCCAGCGGATATACCCTGACAGTAGAAACAAGGATCTTTATCAGCATAGATGAATTACAAAGAATTCTCTCTGCTGTTTTTCTAAATATGGCTGCAATGTATTCTGATCAAATTTACCATTGTGACCTGTTTTTAAAATTCACCTTTCTGCATTTCCCCTTTGGAGTCATTTTATACATGTGTTTTGAATGGCTTTAGAATTAGAAATGCACCTTGAAACTATATTTAGTAAAAATAAGAATCCCTTTTTGGGGCTTTATTATTGTTCTTAATGAGATTCCTCACTGATCAGAAAAAGACAGATTCTTACTCCAGGGATAAAGAAAGATTCAACTTCTTTCCGTTCCTCAACCATCAGCCGACTTCCTCATTGTAAAGTAAAATTTTCTTGTAGAAATGTCAATCCAGCCTTCTTTGGTACTGTGTTAGAAAGAACCAGATTCTTAGAATTTTTTTTGTACTCTTTAGTTTTGACATTAACTTGCAATAAGGTTTTTTTCAAAATAGTTCTGTTTTATTCTGTCTGGATGTTTCCATGACTAAAATCAAGTGATGTCACCTTTGCTCTTAATGACTTCACACTTTTATTTTGGAATACAAATTTGAGAATTAGTGATTTCGTAAAGTAGGTTTATTCCATTTACATGATCTGATTTAGCTTTAACTAGGCTCATTCAGTTGTAACTTACACATCTCATAAAATAAAATTGCAATTGTCTTTTCTGGTAGGATTCCTGAGATCTAAACATTTTATTAAGGCTTTAGTTCTATAATTTTGTCCATTCAAAATCATACTGTATTGTCTACTGTACTTGGAGACTGTCCTTTTTTGAAATATTATAAATATACCTTGGATAGCTAGATTTTTTCACCTTGCAGAAACCATGAAAGGAAAGAATAGCTTACAACTATAGCATTAGATTTTGGAACAGAGTAATTCATAGTATTTGGAAAGCAAAAACAACGTTGTTTATTCCCAGCTGTTCTGCTTTGTGGTTGTCTGACTTACACATTACTATCTCCTTTTGGTTCCTCCAGTTTCTGACCCCCTAACAAGTGAGGAGGAGAGTGATTTGGTGGTTTTACATTTTTAGCTTAAAAATCTTTTGCGATCCAGCCAACCTTTCCGGACTGCTTGAGGAAAATTGGGATGGGAAACATCCACCTAAACCTACTTAATTATCCATGTATTATAATTGGAACATCACACAGCTAATATAATTATAAGGACAACTTACCTCAGTAAGTGTATTGATGTCTTTTCCTGGGAAAAACATAATTTACTCTCAGTAGGAAATCTCTGCCTGGCTAAAATCTTCATTTTACTACTAACTAAGGAAAAGTGTCATATCTAATACTTGTAGCTTGGTGTTTTAGCCTTCTGATGTATCTCCATAAACATGAAATTTAGGAATAGCATTCAATGACAGCTTTACCGTCATCATTACTTTTGCAACTTCAGCAATGCCAAAATGAGGTCCTTATTAAAGCCCTTTCAATATAAAGATATGGTTGCTTAAACATGTTGTTTACTAACTTGCATTGTTCATCCCTAAGTAGGAAAAATCATGAGCTAGCCTGATTTTTTTTTAAAAAGGAGGGGATATTTAAGGCTTATTCCCACTTCAAATACAAATGGTTATTTGCTAAAAGCAAGGGAATCTTAAAGAGCAAACAGCTTTGCTAAGACTAGCATCTTCCTTAGGCTGTGCAGTTAAACCTTTTATTTCTTAGAAGAAAAAGCATTTTTTTTTTAAAAAAGTCTTTAACCTGTAAGCAACTTGAGAAGTGGCATCATAGTCTAAAGGAGGACCACTTGATTTCCTTTTAGATTTTGAGAGGTCTCAGGCCATCTGATCCATATGACAAGTACAATGTGTGTTTAGAAGTTGATAGTGACTAAGGAGACATGGTACACATATATGTGTGCATGTGTGTGTGCCTGTGTGTGTAAAACTCAAGACCTAATATGCTGAACAAGCATTCTAACCCCTAAATGTCCATGTCCTCACTTGTAATCTCAGGTCAAAAAATCTCATAGCCATGTTCTCTTGCAAACAGTTGGAACGGAGGTGGGGTAATTGCAATCTGTGCTGCCGCCCTTTGTACTGCTTGCATTTGTTGTGGGTATACGTCTAGCAGTACATGGTAGGCTTACTTCTTGAGCTCATCTGTTAACACTATGTGAAATAAAATGTTTCAGATCCTTCAGAAAGATTTAGCAGTCCAGCCTCAGAAGAGCTACCAGCGTCCAACAATGACTGGCTGAATAGAAGGCAGAGTTCCCCCGAGTTTCTTAACACCTCCTTTGCAAGAGAGTCCTGCTCCATGGAGGAATTAAGGTGAGTTACATGTTAGAACAAGGGAAGTTGTGCATTAGAACAGCTCCTAGTGAAGTCTGAACAAACCCAATGAATAATCTTCTCTACAAAAGGAAAAAACGGCCCCCCCATGGGTGTCATTTCTGTGACCAGTCTTTGTAAAATGTTTGGGCTCTTGGCTGAATTCAGTCAAATTCATGACTGAGGAAAAGACTTATAAAGGGAAGACACAGTTCTCTTCTTTACAATCTGTATCATAAAAGTGAAAAGACATGTGGATTTTAATATTCCTACCGAAGTTCTGTGTACTCGGAAACCCAGATAACCTCCTTGAATTAATTAACCTACTAAATTTCAGTATTCTACAGTAATAGAATCATTCTCAAGGAACACAAAGTTTCTAGGCTGGAATATTGAGACATTTCTTTCCTGAAGCAGTCTAGATGATTAACAATACTTTAATCTGCATCATTTCATATCTTTCCTCACATAAGATCGTGACAGAGATGGGGCTCAACTTGTAAAAGAATATGTTATTCCTAAAAATGTTTCCTGGAAAACAATCTCTTGTGTCATTGGCCTATTGCAGTTTTTGGAGAAGGAAGGTAGTTCCTTTTAGAAATTCTAAGTAATGTAAGTGTGCAATACAATCTCTTCAGTTGTAAATTTCTTTGAAGTCTGATACTACAGTCAAAAGTAATCAGGAGGGGGGCTGGGAAGGTGGCTCAGTGGTAGAGCCCTTGCCTTGCATGCCTGAGGCCCTGGGTTCGATTCCTCAGCACCACATAAAGAAAAAAGCAGGAAGTGGCACTGTGGCTCAAGTGGTAGAGCATTAGCCTTGAGCTGAAGAGCTGATGGACAGCGCCCAGGCCCAGAGTTCAGGCCCCACGACCGGACCCAAAAAAAAAAATTAATAATCAGGATGTTGTTACTGGTCACTGTAGGAAGGAAATTATTTAGCTTTGGCCCTTGAATTGTTTTCTCTTTTTCATTTTTAACACGAAACAGCTTTTAAGCAATGGATCAATATGAAGTTTCTGGCTTCCATGAAATGTCAATAAAACTCAACTAAATGCACGTGTATTCACCATTATTTCCTTAAAAGAAGGACAAAAACATGAAGAGTACAAACAGTATAAATCACAGTATTTTATTTTTTTAAGGTCATGAAAAGTCACTATTTTTTCCTTATAGTTGTTCCACTTCTTGGATGAGTGTAACTTTTATCACGGGTCTATCTGCACAGGTCCACAGATCAAAGCTGATGAACTGTTTTAGTCTGTGTGGCACATGAAAAAAAATGATGTGTTATATTCATCAGAGGGCAAAGGATTTCATATTTGGATATCTATATCTATGTCTCTATATCCATATGTCTCTCTATATAGCTATATAGCTCTATGACTGAAAATCTAAGTAACCTCAGGAAGAAAAATCCCTCTGTGATCCTCTCACAATATCATGGTTTCCGACGTCAGATACCCTTGCGGGAAGGAATCTGTCGACTCTGCCGCCCAAATTCCATCCCCCCAAAATGAAACGTGCAGCACAATAAAATAACAACTATTGAAAATAATTTTAGTCTTGGCATATCTTGTCTATCTTACCCCTTGTTCTAATTGATTTACTATATTCAAGAGAAGGTATTTCTCTGGTGGTGTGTTCATTGGGGGTTCTATGGCATGATCAACTTGATGAATATGGTTAATGGTAAGACAGAGTCCTTGAATGGTTCTTAAAACATCTTCCTGAATCATCACCAAAAGATGCTACACATTATCCCCATTGGTCCATTGGGGCTTTATTTCTTAGGAGAGGGAAAATCATGAGAATTTCTCATTGAAAGGAGGCCTTAGTATCCTGGGCATATTGAAAATTATGGCTCAGTCTGGTATAAACGCCTCTTACCTGCTAGCTCCCAACAACTTCAATATATGAATGTAGTATCGATCAGAAGACAAATGAAAGCTGAAACTTGCTTCTGTTTATTGTGTATTGATCCTTTAATGTCTCTCCAGCTTTTCGGGAAAAGATTCCCAAATGCGATCTTTGCTGTCACTTTCTGGGAGCAGCACGGATGAGGAGGAAGAAGATTTTCTTGACAAGCAACATGTCATCAAACTCCCATGGTTAAAGAAGATTTAAAGATCATTTGTTCATGATTTTCCCATTTTTGTACCCAGAGTAATGCCAAAAACTGAAACAGTAAGGATTACCTGTCCAGGTATTGAAAGTTTGAATTATTAATGTTTCTGATGCTTCAAGGCTTGTAAACTAATAAAGGTTAATGAAATTAGAAGTTTTAACTCTGTTCATTCCAAATGACCCAGCTTTTGTAATATACTAAACCATTGTGCAGATTGTATAATGAAAATTTAATAAATGATAGGAAATAATATTTATAACTAGGTCTTTAGAACCTGGCATACAACAGAGCATGATTATATCTAAAGTTTCATTGTTGATTAATGATTCATTGGTGATTAAAGTAACTGTGTCATTATAGAGAGTATTTGTGATAACAATATCATATTAGTCATTATCAACAATTGAGCCTTTAACTCGTATTATTTTCTATTAGCCTTTTTCACATTGTAGAAGTTCTCATAGCTTTAAAAGTTGGTGCTAGAATTAAAAAGGGAACCTAATAGAGCATGGACATAATTCTTATCGGAGTCAATGATAATAAGACACACAAATGAACTCAAAGCATTTGGAGAAGGTTAATGTAATGTTTAATTTCATGTGTGACTCCTCTGTTTGGTCAGACATTATTCTAGATGTGTCCATGGAGACACTTTTTGAGGAGATTATTATTTAGATCACCAGAGGTCAAGTGAAGCAGATTGTTCTCTATTTTATGGGCAAGCTTTATCCCAACAATTTGAATGTCTTAAACAATTGAGGTCTCCAGAGCTAGAGGCAACTGCTTATCATGTTCCTTTTGGGCTGAAATTGTATCATCATTTTGGCCCTGTCTCTAACTTGCCAGTCTATACCACAGGTTTTGAAGTTGTCAGTGACCTACCTCTCTATCTCTCTGTCTCTGACTCTATCTCTCTGACTCTCTGTCTCTCTCTCATTTTTGTCTCTTTTTCTCTCCCTCTCTATCTTGCTGTTCCTGTCTCTCCTTTGTTCTGTCTCTCTACACATGGATGCATACACACAAGCCCTATACATTGGTGTCTGGGAAGCTTAATACAGAGCATTTGCAAAATCACTGTGATTGTCACATGAAATAACCTAGTGGAAGAATTTTGCTGGTGCCATCTAGTTCTGGATCCTGGGGTCTGTAAGTATAATGATTTTTACATAATCTTATAATGCAAGGTTGTGAAAATGTTCAAGAAGATATGGGCAATTGTTTTGTACTTGTCATCTTGTGAACGTGTTAGTATAGATTTCCCTTGTTGATGGAATCCATTGGCTGATCAGACAAAGAAAAATCCCCTTGGAATGGCTACATATGTCCACTCTAGTACAGGTTCTTTTCTCTTTTCTGTGGTTCTAGGTAGTCATTCCTTTTAAAAGACTCATGGCTATTTATCTTTGGTGCTTTTACCATAGCATCAATAAATTAAACTATGATTCTCATATGTCATCTCCTTACAGGTTAGAAAATATGATGAAGACACTGCTGGTCATTTCTATGACTTTTAATATAAATGCTCTTTATTGGAGGTTTTTGACACATAAGCCAACAGTTAACAATCAAGAGTGCCAGTCACTTTCTCAGATAAAACATTGCAAGAGAAATAAATGTCTTCTGAAAGAGTGTGACTCTTCAGTCAGCAATGTTTTCCTTTCCTCTTAACATTTCTGCTTTCAGAAGCCCATAGACACAACACTGAGTCATGTTTGAATCAACACCCTCGTGTCAAAAGTCTTTCTGGCATCTGGTCCCGAGGCTTCTGGCTAAGAAGTTTAGTCGTGAACATGGAGATTGCCTGTTCATCTGTTATATAGAAAAGACAGTACTTTTTTCTTTCAGGATAGCTATCCAGGTTTCAAATTCTTGACTCTATTCTCTCTGTTTGAAGACCTCTCATTCCCTTCTAATGAAGAAGCAAATAGTTGCTTGGGCCATGATTTATAAAACCCAGGCGCTTTTCTCAAAAAGCCTGGAAAACAAGTGATGTTTTGCTCCCTTCAGAGAAGGATTGTACCACCTCTGTCCCTCTGGTGCGCAATCATTGCTTTAGTCTTTATTCACCTAGATATAAAGAGAATTTTATATAAACCCACTCATTACCTCTTATAAAAATGCTGAAATGAATGTTAAGCTGATAACTAAATTTAACCTGTGCAACTCTGATCACAATTTTGAAATAACTTCGTCAATTGAAATCTAACATTGAATTGAATTGAACTGTGAGGGTCTTGGTGGCAGAGTTGAGAAGGAAAGACTTCTCGTGCCTTTATTTGCTTTCCATAACCACCCATTTAGAAGAGTTCTTTAATTTCATTGCCATTAGTCTAATGAGGAAATGAAATCTAAATAAGATGAGAACCTTTGCCAGAAGCAGATTCAATATATTCATTCATTCATTTTGAGCTGAAGCTTAAAATTACATTTAAAGGCCTGTTCCTGGTTCTGCTTGTAGAATTGAGAGTTACAAGAGTTACAGGTATTCTAGAAAGCTCCGGGCCATATAACTAATACTGAAGTTAGTACTGGGTTCCTCTCACTGTTGGGGAAATTACCATATGATTTTACATATATCGTGGCCTTACTTCATAGCCAGATTTCTCTACTGCTATAAAAGTCATATGAAACTCCATTCATATATAGCTCTTGTCATTCTACATTACAGAAACAAGTGGGGGTTCAATTGTCCTGAATGGTTTTAAGTACATTATTTGATATCCATTGCAGCCACATGTAATATATATTATATATATAGAAAAGAGTGTAAGTCAGAGTGCAGTAAGGTACTTGCTATGTTTACTGTGGCACTATTCACATCAGCCAAACCATGGAAATATCCTAGATGCCCATAACTGGTAATCAGATTGAGAAAATGTGATGTATATATATATATATACACAATGTAATATTATTTAGCTATAAAGGAGAATGAAAGTACGTTTCCAAGGAAATAGATGGAACTAGTGATCTTCATATTCAGTGAAGTAAGCCAGATTTAGGACAAAGGTCTCAGCTTTTCTTTCATCCGTGGAAGCTAGAATTAAAAAAAGACATATACATAAACCTACAGCATGATATACATATATATGTATACACACACACACACACACACACACACATATCCATATATATAGAGAGAAAGGAAATGGAAGAAAGGGAGAGAGAAGAGAACATTGGTAATTGGGGAACTGTTTAAAGGTTCTTGAGGGGAAAGCAAATAATGTTAGAAGGTGAACAACACTGAAATGCACTGCACCTTTGAATGAACTTAGCAAAAGAAAATTCATGGAAAGCTGTTGAAAAATAGTGAGTTGTTCCCACTATTATTACAGGAAAAGCGAAATTAGCAAAGGGGACAATCTGATTAAAACACTGTAAATGCTTGTGTGAAATACCATGACAAAAACCTTTTGAGTAATTAACATATACTAAAAAAAAATGAGTGACAGGAAGAGTAAACAGGTCCTGTGAAAGGAATGGGGTCTAGTGGATGGGCATGGTGAATGGGGAGAGTGAAGAAGAGCAGATATGATAAAGATACTTCATGTGCACGTTAGAGAATGTAATAAAAAGGTAGTTGAGATTTTTTGGGGGGAAGAGAAGATGATGAAGGAGAGTGACAGAAGATGGATTTGACCAAGGTACATTGATTGTCAGTATGGATATGTTAATATAAACACACTTTATACAATTAATTGATGCCAATAAAAGTGTGGAAAAATGTATTAATGGACAGTGAACACAGAGGTCACTTTATACATTCATATATATGAGATGCTTTAAAAACAATTTTTGACCAAGTGACTACTCCAAAACAGCTTTTTGTCTATACTAGACACATTCAGATCTCAGATATTTTACAGAATTCACTGTTTCAGGAAAAAAAACAGTTCTTTCTGTCTGATTCAATTTTAGAAAGAGCTTAAGCAGTACTCATTGCATTCAGGTTTTGGCACATGCTATTTCTCATCTCTTAGATCTTGAAATGTACTTTCTCAAAGAGCTTTCTCTAAATCTCTATCCACATAAATTTCCCTTACCCCTTCTTGATTCTTTCTAATGGTGATCTTGCTTTTTTATTTATTGTTTGTCCTGCAGAATACATAATTGCGAATACATCGGCATGGCTTGAAAGACATGCTTTTCAAGTAGAACTGCACGTTTATTCACCATTTGTGTACTTATTCTAGTAGATGCCTAATGTGGTCTGCAATGTCACTAGTAAATGAATGGATGATGGATGGATGAATGAAAGATCTACCTGATAGATGGTTCTCAGTCTCTAACTTTTCCCCACGGGGACACATTTGTAATGAGAGAATCCCAAGTATGCTGTGGGACCTGGAAATGTCACTGTCTTGTCTGGTGATGTCCCTTGTCATGATTTTCTGACAGTTAATCCGTATGTAGACAAATTACTGGTGGAATGATAAGTAAATTTAAGGTTGATATAAATAAGGCACAATAATCACTGAATATCAGAAGCAGAGGGTACTTGCAGTGAGTTGGAAGAGCAGGTTGAATGATCTATAACACTTGTGGTTCTGTATATTTGGATTTATTTTATTAAAAACTTTCTGAAACCTTGTTCCATATGTTCCTTTCTTCCTTCCATCATGTATAAGTTAAAAGGTTTTAAATCCTAAAATGGTAACTGCAATTTATAAACACCCTGCACATCGTACTTTCAAAGAGGAATGATTTTTTTACAACGTACTATTTATATCTCCCCAAATCTGTTTTAATAGGATATTCTGTTTCATCATAATTTTCATGCCTGGTTATTTATCACTAGCTCTATTTGCATGAAAACAATGTTTATTTCCTGAGAGTTCATCTATGCTGTAGTTTATTCCCCACCTAAAGTCATAATTCTTTCTTAGTGACACTCTGATTGTTCGCTGGGTAAATGATTATGATGTTGCAAACACAATTATGGCTTCAGCTGGGAATAACCAGCAGGCATAGATGAACTCCGAAAAATAAAGAGCCTCCT